CAATCAATCAAACCTTTTTTTTTCTCAAGTTTTTTGTTTATTTATTTTTAAATTTTGTATCTTTATTTTTCTAAAACACCTCATAACCCTGCAAAAAACAGAAATTATTTTCTAAAAAATACAGGTGAACTCAGGGACCATATATCTGATGATAAAAAATGACAAAAAAAAAATCCAACTTTTCTTTATATATTTTTTTTAATGTTTTTAAAATCGAATTTAGTTTTTGATTTTTTTAAAATCCGAATCAAAGTCGGATTCCAAAAAAACATGGGGTTGTAGGGTTTAAAATTCCCTACAACCCCATATATATATATATATATTTTTTAACCTATTGTTCAATTCAGGAAAATTCTGGTAAAATCGGGTCCGCGGTGCGGACCAGGTAGGCCGAGGATGGGGACCCGTCTGCGTTCGCCATCCGAGATTGGACCCACAGACACATCCGCGCGTGTTACATAGATTGATTGTTGTTGTTGTGGTTGTTGTTGTCGGTCTTTTGTAGTGAACTGTTGTCGTGCTCCTATCTTTCAAGCTTTCGGGGGGGAGGTTCGGGGAGATTGGTTGATTGATTGATTGATTGATTGATTGATTGATTGATTGTTGTTGTTGTTGACCGTTTGCAGTCCGCTGTTGTCGGGGAGATAGGGGGTGATGGTTTGCTTGATTGTTTTCAGTGAGCAGACCGGTGGATGCGGATAGAGAGTGGACGAGGGAGAGTGTCGAGGGAGGAAGAGCATTGAAGGTTGTTGAATGAACCGGCTTTAACCAGAATTGTTCCTTCAGCTTTTGTCGTTTCGTTGCAGGACGACGAAGAGCCGTAGTGAGGCCGTGAAGAAGCACTTCACGGAGGTGGGGGACAGCAGCAGAGTCGACAAGGGTAACAAACAGCGGATCTGCAATTATTGTGACAAGCCTGTGGCCGGGACAGCGAGCAGGGCAAGGGACCATTTCTTGACGCGTTCGCGATGTGATGTCGAGCGCCTGCGAGGTGTTGTGCCGAGAGAAGAGTACTCGAGGAGGGTGAAGGGATTGGCTGCGAGGTCGGAGTTGGGAGTCGTTATGGGAGAGACTGCCGAGCTGGGGTCGTCGGAGGACGACAACGAGCAGCAGACTGTAGAAGGCGGAGTAGTCGATCGATCGAAATCTGTGGCGGGGCTCCATCATGAGACTCCCCAGTCGTCCACAGTTGTAGTCGGCCTCCGTCAAACAATGATCGAGGACAGTGTTGTCGTTATCATGGTGCACGAGCAAACACAGCGCGCAGTGGACAACTGGATAACGGCAGAATGCATCCCATTCAATATGATGCGGAGCAAGTACTGGGACAAAATGGTGCATGCACTCATGAATGCGCCGAAAGGATTCCGGTACGCGAAATTCGAGAGTGCAAGGACAAAGAGGGTTGAAGTGACGAGGGGGAGGGTCGCGAAGAGGGTGGAGGAGCTGCGGCAGGAGTGGCCAACCACTAGCTGCATATTGCAGCTTGATGGTTGGACAGATCGCCGACAGAGAGTCAGAGACCACACATCAATATGATGGTCTCCTTCCCTAAGGGCTCTATCTTTTGGCGATTCGGAAGTGTGTGCATGTCGGGGCGCAATAAAGGCGCCTCGACATACTATGGCATTCTGAAGAGGGCAATAAAGGAGTTAGGTGCGGAGGCAGTGGTGGGGGTCGTTATGGACAATGCTGCCGTATGTGCAGCTGTGGGCCGAATGGTGGAAGCAGATCACTTGCATATCTTCTCGGTCCCATGCACAGCTCACTCGCTCGACCTCATTTTCGAGTCTTTCGCACAGATCACGTGGGTGGGCGAAGCTATTAAAAGGGCGTCGGAGGTAGCAAAGTTTTTCACGAACCTTTCGCGGGTGCGGGATCTCCTCCTCTACTACTCCAATGGCAGCGTCGTGGCAAAACCCAGTGCGACCAGGTTCGCCACGAACTTCATCATGATGTGGAGCCTGCAGGGGTTGTACTTGCCGCGGCGAGCGTGTTTGACGGGCGATGATTGGAAGCCAGCGATTGTGCACACTTCACAACACGAACTGTTTGTGAGGGTGACACATTCCATCTTCGACGACACCTTCAGGGCAGATATCGAGAAGGTGCTGCAAACGTCCAAGAACCTCCTCAAGCTTTTGAAGAAGGTCGACGACATGGGTCCCACCATCAGTAAGGTGTATGCCCGTATGGATAGCATTGTGGAGAAACTGAGGGAGAGCGGACACTTCACAGAAGCAGAAAAGGAAGAGCTAGAGGCTATAATAATGCGGCGCTGGAATACAATGACTCCACCACTGCATTGTGTTGCGCTGTTTTTGGATCCGGAGTACAGAGCGTCGCGGCCTGAATCGGATGCAGAGATTGTGGACGGGTTTTGGACATGGCTTTACTCGTGGTGCAAGGAGGTTGCGTACAGGGAGGTCGACACAGAGATCTGTTCTTGGATCGAGGGCACCGGGAGACACACTACCGAAAATGCAAGGACACAAACCCATACGATGCAGCCGGCGAGGTGGTGGAGGAAGTGGTACAGCGACATGCCCATCCTCCAAAAGCAAGTCGTTTGGCTTCTTGGACAAGGCTCCTCCTCCTCTAGTTGCGAGAGGAATTGGAGCTTGTTCGAACCGATTCACAGCCGTCTCTGCAACAATCTTGGCGCCGTCAAGCTAAGCACGCTGGTTTTCAACAGATGGAACCAGCACTTGTTGGACTTCTTGACCAAGAAACCGAAGGCCGACGATGCGGCGAAGTGGGAAGAGGATGAGACGGTGGAAGATCTGACACGAGATGAGATGGTGTCAGATGCACTCCTACGTTTGGGGGAGTGGCGTGCCCACTACCAAGAAACCGAAGGCTGACGATGCGGCGAAGTGGGAAGAGAATGAGCCGGTGGAAGATCTTACACGAGATGAGATGACATCAGATGCACGTCTACGGTTGGGGGAGTGGCGTGCCCACTTGCGCGGAACACATTCGGTCCACGCTGATTCGCCGAAGGTGAGAATGACGACTCGGGCTCCGACAAGGAGGACATTCCTGTCCAAGCGCAACAAACGGCTGTTGCGGAGGAGGTCAAAGTTCAGCATCGTCGGCTGTGCAGTGATTTGTTCGAGCTCGAGAGGGAGCTCAACGAGTTGTGGAGGAAGGCAACGAAAACTTCCAAGTTTTTGGCCCGGCAGCATTTGCATGACTTGGATCAGGCTACCAGGACCATGACCCTCGAGCATGCCAACAAGTACAATGTTGCGCGGGCTGCCACATGTGCACCACCCTGCGTACCAGCCAAATGAGGGAGAGGGAGACCTCGAAAGGACGCTGCGACTCATGGGGGGACAGGCGACGAGGAAGTTGAGGATGCAGAAGGTTGAGATTTGGAAGGGGTTCCTGCACCCGCACGTGCGACAAGAAAGCGGGGACGACCACGGAAGGCGTCCGTGGAAGAGGAGGAGGCTGGAAATAGAAGGGGGACACGGAAGCGGGGACGTTTACAGGTGCAGCCAGTCGAAGAGGAGGAGGAAGCAACGCTTGAAAAGACAAGCAGCGCTGACAAACATGGCAGCAGCGACGGAAGCAGCAGCGGCGACAAAAGCGGGGCTAAGCATAATGAAAATGACTGGAGCGGCAGCAGCGGAGGTGCGCGTGATGGCAGCAGCAACAGCGATAAAAGTGGAGGTGGTTATGGCAGCAGTGATGACGGCGAGAAAGATGGGAGGTCATCGGAGGAAGAGGACGACTCCGAATGCGAAGGCCAATAGGGAGATGGGAATTCATCGGAGACAGAGCACGACTCCGACTTACAGCGCAGTCAGACATCGAGCTGAAGAGAGAGAGAGAGAGAGAGAGAGAGAGAGAGAGAGAGAGAGAGAGGGAAAAAAAAACCATTTTGGTATTTTCGGATGTGTTTGCTGATCTTTCTTCTGTTGAAAGTTGAAAATTGAACTCAACAGAAAAATTCCCACAAGAAATAAAAGTTGAAAAAACATTATGTACAAAAGAGATCCTTCATATTTACAAATTATCATTCCAATGTTTGTCCTATTCTAAAATTTACAGTTTTATTTGTTAAATTTTCATCTAAATATGAGCTTTCTCTTCCAACTACATCTATTTGTTCAAGATGGAATGAAAGTCTGGACGAGTTTATGAAATGTTTTAATTAAGGTTTCATTCTATTACAACAAATATTTTATAATTTAGATTGGATTAACCTATTTATGACTGAAAATCCTTACTTAGAATGATGGTCCAATTAAAATATTTCATGAACTCATCCAGACTTTCATTCCATCTCTAGCACGCAGTTCAAATAAGAAGGGATACCCCATTTTTGGAATGAAAGTTTCCAAGTAAGACGGAAAATTTTAAAATTGGAATGATATTTTTTAAGATGGAATGGAAATTTAAAATTCAGATAGTAATCTTACTATAAAAAATGATTATTTAATTCTGGAAAAATTTTCTGTTGCTTTTTTGCTGGAATTCGTTCAACAGCTGAAGTCTTTCAAGTTTTGCATTCAGAAAGCTCAAACTACATTTGCTGGTGGTGGGAGGGAATGTGTTTGTTAAGTGTGTTTGTTCAATCAACTTGAATGTATTTGTTGAATGTGTTTTGTTAAACCCTTGCACTGTCTGTCTTTGTTGTACTTTGTCATGTTTCAATCAACTTGAATGTGTTTGTTGAATGTTGTTGATCTTGAATGAACTTGAAGTTTTGAACTGTGCTTGTCCGACAGTCCAACTTTGTGTATCACTTGTTCAATGGACTATAGACCGTTTGATGCAGGTGCTCCGCCACGAAGTGCGAACAAGGTG